GTCTCGTTCGATGGCTTGCCGCCCTGGTCCGCCGGCGCATCGAGTATTTGGTAGAGCAGAAAGTTCGACTCCACACCGCCGTGAAGGTTTCCGATACCAGGGATCTTGGGCAGCTCTTCTATCAGCCTGTCGCGCTGCTTGACGATGAGGTCCTTGTGGCTTTGCATGACTTGCAGGTGCTTCGGGCTCAGGGCGGCGCGCGCGATCTGACTCGTTGGGTTGGGGATGTTGTAGGGTGCCTTCATGTTGTTGAGGATTTGCGCGATGGCTGGGTCTGCGAAGGCGGCACCTAATCGAATGCCTGCAAGACCGAAGGCTTTCGAGAGCGTCTGCATGACTACAAGGTTGGGCCATTCGGCGACCCACTCTGCCAGACTAGTTCCATCGGGCGCGAAGTCGATGTATGCCTCGTCCACCACTACGACACCGTTCCACGGGTGTTCTAGTATCTTTTGTACATCCTCCTTCTTGAGCAGCTTCCCGGTCGGGTTGCCCGGCGAACACAGGTACGCTAGCTTTATGCTCTTGTCCTCATCCATGGCCTTCAGTATCGCGGGAACGTCGAGATCGAAACTTGGTGTTTGTAGGGGAATCTTGGCCAGCGCGACATCGTTGACTTGCGCGGAAACGCTGTACATGCCGTATGTGGGTGGACATGTCAGGATCTTCTCCTTGCCGGGGACGCAGAAGGCGCGGATGAGGGCATCGATCGCTTCGTCGGAGCCGACACCAACGAAGAGGTTGGCGGGTGTTATGTTCTTGGAGGTGTGGGTGTGGGTGTTTCGGAGGTTGCAGAGGAGTTGCTTGAGTTCTTCTTGGTGGCTGTATAAGGTCGTCAGCGTGTGCGATGCAAGCGCTCGCGGTGTGCATACGGATCTGGGTATCGGTTCAGGCCGAGCAAATCGACATCAATCGCGGAAGATGCGTCGGAGGTGCCATTGACATTGGCGCCAGGCAGCTTTCCCTCGCCATTCAGTTGTAGTCCCGGCCCGTATGCGTTCTCGTTCGCGTCGAGGAGGATGTTGGTGCCGTCATCTTTGTAGTCGCTACGCGTCGTGAGCTGGGTACCGCGGCAAGAGTCATGGATATTCACCTACTCGCGCGCGCATCGATACGGCTCCAATGCGAGAATGTTGGATCGCGCGCATTTCTGCAGATCGAATGCCGTGTTCTTTGCGACCATTGTGTATGTTGTGGGCGGATAAAAGGAATTGGGGGTTGGAGTCGAGGACCGCTATGTCCAGTCGAAGTTGGTGTTCGCGGGGAACTTTTTGTTTCGCGGGGCCGGACGCGGCGATGTCGGGAGTCATCACATCATCGGAGAATTATTCTGATTGATCGAACTTCGATACCAATTCATAGGAGCTAGTTCTCAGCGCAGGTAAATGTGTCCATTTTCGGGTGAACTGTTTACGTTTGGTGGGCGAATATGCAGTCGAAGCTGTTGGTCGAATGACATAGTACGTGACCTGTGGTACAAGCTCTCAAGCCAGGAGGTCTTCACAAGCTGTTCATATTACGATCAGAATACAATAGAGATGCCTGGTGTACTTCAGTAGGGCATCAGATATCCTGCGTAATCCGAAAGTGTCTTGAGGACCTCCTCGGCCATGCGTCAACAGTGGCTTCGCAAACCACATACAACGTAGTATGCACCTAGGTCGTCCAATAGAATGCATTACAAGCGCTGATAGTCTAGCCTCGAGTCTTTGTGGGTCTGTAATACGTAGGCTTGATTTGATCTAGTTGATCTTGGTCCAACTTTTCCCTATCCGATTTCCTGACTCGTATCTTTTAAAACTTGTTTCTCAACCACGTCAAGTGTCAACGCCTCTCGTTATATCGTTTCTACTTTGCCCTTCTTCCATCAACGTCCGATATGGTCTAGTGGCTAGGATTTGCCGCTCTCATCGCAGAGTAAGCTCGCAGCCTCACAGCAGCGCAGTGCCGGCAAGGCCCGGGTTCGATTCCCGGTGTCGGAAGCAGTTTCTTTTTGCTATTCTACATCATCTGAACAATCTAGAAACATACTACATGTGTTTGGTTTGAATAGAATCATTTTTGCCAACTCAACATACCCAAACACCACTCACACCAAGCCTGTCACTCTCAACACTCACCCAGACGTTCAGAGAGCCTCTCTCTTACTCTAGCTAATCACTAGTGTATAGGGGAAGAATGGTGGTCGATCACTGTTGGGTTGAAGAAGTGAAAGTGCCGTTTGGCCATGCTGAACCGACGACGACAGTGATATCTAACAGGCTACCTTATGTGCTGCCTAACATCCGAAATGCGACTATCTCGCGGAGTCTTAACACTTTGCTTGACCCTCCCTAGCTAAATAGAAAGTAATCAGCTACTGCTGGGTTGAAGCTCCGGCAAACCTCGTTGGTGAAGCATCCACCCAAATTGCTACCACACCTTTCTGCCCGCACTGCGCACCCTTTGATCAACGAAAGACGGGCGCTTCATTCAATGTCAGATTTGCATTCAATCTTGCATCCATCAGCTTCTCTCGCGGCATCAATCAATTCATCAAAGGTATCATAATCTCCATGCACTCACGCCAACGCGCCCATCGGGTCCCATAGCTCCAGCATCTTCGGCTTCTGCTCGAGCACCTTCTTGATCGTCGAGCTGACAACACTAGGATCAACAACGGCCTGGTACACAAACTCATCCATCCAAGCATCGCTCATGACAAAGTAGCCCTTGTCGCCTGCACGCTCACTCCACGAGTTCTCCACCCTCCAGCGCACAGGCTTGCCGTCAACGACGTGTACAGCCGTCAACACCATGGCATGCGTCATCTGGCTCTCACCAGTCTGAAGACGCTCCGCCTTGGACATGCCGAGCTTGATGTTGAAGCCGAGCTCGTACTCGAAGAGATCGGTGTCCATGATTCCCTTGGTGGAATCGGAGTACTTGCCTACGTCTGAGCCGAAGAAGACGGGCATGCCTTTCTTCAGCATGGCAATGCAGGCGTCCTTGATGGTCTTCATGTCGACATTCACATAAGTCACTGGGCGGCCGTTCCAGACGTTGCCGAGTCGCTTTACGCTGAGTAGACGGTTGTAGGGGTTGCGCGGGTCGTTGACAAGCGAGAAGAGCGAGTGCACGTCCGTTCCAGACAGCGCGCGGACGGTCTTGTTGTCGGACAGTTCTTTAGCAAAAGCAGTGGGTCGCGTCTTGACGGTGCAGAAGTTGCCGTCCTTGTCGTAGTACTCCCAGGTGAACGGCTTGGTAGAGCACGGGGGAGGTCCTAGCATCAGTGTCAGGATTAGGTGAATTTCACGCAGCATCTTCTCCTTCTCTCCAGCAATAGTAGCCTTGATCGCGTCTGGCGATGCGTTGCTGGATGCGATAGCACGCAGACGGACGGCATCCTCGCGCAACTTGGTCGTGATCAGACGGTCCATGGTAGATGAGTTGGACGCGTTGAACGAGTCTGGGTAGAGCGAGTGCGGTACAAGACCATACTTCTGCACGAGGTTGGCCACCATATCCCACTGTCCGCCGTCACCGACAGGGCTGGACATCAGCGCCTGCACGATCCGGCTGTCAATCTCCTCACCCTTCGTATCCAGTATGCTTTCGAGGAAGTAGTTTGCCTTCTCAATCTTGTCCCAGTAGAAGAGGTATGCCTGCGACAGCTGGAACTCGGATAGCTTGTACTTCTTCATGATCGCAACGCGGAAGACGTTGGTGGATGCGAAGAGCCAGCATCTTCCGGATGAGGCTTGATTTGTGACGGGCGAGCCCTCGAAGGGAATCTTGATGTTGAACTTCTGGGTGTCTGCGATGACAGCGGATCGGGATGAGAGTACGGCGTTGGCAGAGTTGGAGCTAAGAGCTGCGAGAGCGAGGCGGTTCTACAGAGGTAAGCAGGAGACAGTATAAGAGCTGTGTGTAGTACCTTTGGGTCTTCCATAAGCTCCTTCTCCCACTCTGACACTGACGCGGCAGATACATCTTGTTGGTACTTGACGCCGGGGGTGTATCGAGGTGCTTTGACAGTTAGACTTGGTATACCATTCTCAACGTCATGTAACGTACGAGCCTCTCCGCCAACAACGACAAATCCATCCTTCTCGTTCATGGGTCGTTCATCCTTCATGTGGAGCGCCTGGAGTCGCTCCATCAACTTCTCATTAACAGCAGCATCGGACGGTCGTGACTGATTGTTGCCCATGATGAAGATGGGGACAGAACTTGCGGACTATCGTACAGCTCTCGATCAAGAGATAGCTATGTGTTGTAATCTGGGGAAGCTCTGGCTGCCCATCAAGGTGTCGCTCGCTATCGCGCTTATCGGGCGGGAGCAACGCGTGCATGGGTCTCGTGGCAGCCCCACTCCGATCAGATGGCTGGCGCGGAAAGTGCCCGCCTCCATACCTTCCACATTCGATCGACGTGCATCGAAGCATGATGCTTACACGCAAGACAGGCTGACTTGTGCACAACTCAGCATGCAGATGCACGTTACTCACGACTGTTGATCGGGTGCTGGAGTCTATCGTTGCCTGACTGCCTCAGCCACAACGCTGCGACCACCGCGCTATTACCGCGTACGAGGCTACCAGCATCGCCTAACGGCCCATCTCCACAGACCCTGAAACTCGTGACAGCCGTTTTGCTTCTTCATCAGGGCAGCGAGTGCCATTATATCACACCAATTTGATCACTTTTAACACGCATCCAATACTTCCATCATCAACCACGCATAGAGGCAATGCTGCAACACCGGCCCCAAACGGCGCGGCTGCTAAAAGAGGGAGATGAAGATGTACAGGGCCGAACGCGTGTTTCATCACGGCGCCGCAAGGCGTTCCCCTGAGCGTACGCATCACAGCCCAGTCAACGCGAGTTCCCGAAATATCGGTGTATCTCGCGCTCAGCCCTGCAAACAGAGACTTATATCCTGGTTTCCTCTTTTTGTTGCGCAAACATTGCACCTAGCCACCGACAAGCAACGATAGTCACCAGCGGCACGATTCACCATGGCGCAACGACCGGTATTTTGGCAGAAGCGCGTTCTCGTGCCCTTCTGGGTGGTGCGAATATGTATCATGCTCTTGATCATTGGAGCAGTAGGCATTTCGCTGAGCAATGTGAAAGAATTGGAAGACGTTATCCAACCCTCAGTCTCGTAAATGGAACCATCAACAGCGCAGACACAAAGCTTACAGCCAGTAGATTGCTCATTGTCATTATACTCTTCAGCTGTATAGTGCTCCTCATCGACATTCTCGCCATCCTGCTCTTCCTTCGCGATGCGCTGAAACCCGGCACTTTCCTCACCATGAACTCGTTCCAGACTGCGTTCTGGGGCGTCGCCTTGATCATGGAGTTTGCGGATATTGGCAAGGGCGGTAGCCACGTCGGGCTTGGATTCGGCGTCTTTGTATTGTACGTTCAGAGTTCAGGAGGTCGTTTGCAGTACTAACACATCGCAGCCTCAGCTACTTCGGTCTCTTCATCTACTCGGTCATCGGTTATCGTCGCGCGAAGGCAGAGGCCAAACGAGGCCAGTACGCACCGGCGCACAACCCATTCGGGGGTTCCGTACCTGCTCAGGAATCATCTCCGTATAACAGCGCACCCGAATACCAAAATACCGCATACCACTCGCAGACGCAACCTGCTGAGATGAACAACCAGTATCTTCCGCCATACCAGAGCGGTGCTGCGACCGACTACTACCAGCAGCCGGTGAAGCCTGCTCATATCGTATGAGCGAGAGATGGAGATCTTAAGGATCTGGCGAAGTGCAGAGAAATATAGAGCATTTGGATAAGGCGTTCTGGCAATTAGGAGACATTGATACCACGGGTTCCGGATACTTTCACATGTCGACATGCCGCATGAACCTTCATGCGCAGCGGTCCGAACGATTCAGTATTGAATAATGGAAGCATAGTTCTTCGAGGAACGGGCCGTTTGATTACATGCGCGGGATGACATCCCATATGGTCAGTGTGAGGAACGGTTCCCTGAAAATCGATCGACGGATATATGAAAGACCATGAACCAAACTACTTGCATATCAAAATCCGTGAATGACACCTCAAGCTCCTCACACGTGCGAAAGACTACCGGACGCTCCTGCCCATTTGAGTGGCTGCAGCCGAGGCGCTAGGGGCGACACCCCCAAAGGCTTGGAAATGTCTCCGTTTCGGAGGTCAACAACCACTCACAGCCCCAAAGCCGATGTTTCCAGCATGTCACGACCATGGTCATTTATGCGAGGAGCAATCAGATCGCTGCTACCCGCACGTTGTGACTAGACTGCGGCGTGTGCCATGGCTGTGTTCCTGACCTCTGTTCGCCCGTTCGGCTCGCATAATGCTTGGAACATTAGCGGTGGATCAAGACTGGGGACTCTGTGGCTGGCTTAAGGATAGGTCGGGAGGAGGGTGTTGTTATAAACGTCAGGTGCGCGCTGTTTACTTGCATAGGTCTCAGGTCGCTCCGTCAAACACATTCGCTTCATCATCTTCCATTCGTTGTTCAAGATGCGATCCTTCCTACTACTCGCTGCGGCAGTTCCTTTCGCTCAAGCTGTTCGCATCGTTCAGTCAAACGACGACGGCTGGTCAGAGGCAAACCTTCGCACCTTTTTCGACGTCTTGAACTCTGCTGGTCACGAAGTCGTATTGTCTGGTCCCGCTGAAAACCAGTCTGGCAGAGGTTGGTAGTCGAGTCATGGCCATATATACATGCTGACTTATATCAGGATCCTCCGACGCACCCCCGAAAACCGTTGATTCAGACGGTTGCATTCATGCGTCCTGCCCTGGAGGAAGCCCGCCAACCGGCGCAAACGCGACAGACCCTCGCCTAAACTACGTCAACTCGTTCCCGGTCACTTCAATCAAGGAGGGAATCGATGTCACGGCTCCAAAGCTCTGGAACGGCGCAAAGCCCGAACTCGCCCTGACCGGACCGAACGTTGGCAGCAACGTTGCTGTTCAGGTTCCCTTCTCCGGCACAGTCGGCGCCGCTGCATTCGCGGCAAAGACGGCTCAGATCCCGGCCATCGCCTTCTCTGGCGTGACAGGAGATCCTACTGCATGGAACGCACCTACTCCTTTCCATAGCAAGGTCTATGCTGACCTGGCTTTGAACGTTACCACGACTATCATCAACTCTGGAAAACCATACCTCCCAGCAAACTCTTTCCTGAACGTCAACTTCCCCGCTGTATCCGAGACCAAGTGCAGCGACCCCAGCCAGTTCAAGTACATCTTTACGCGCATCAACACTGGTCTTCTGAGCGCTCGTGATGCCGAATGGTGCGGTAGCACGCGCCTGCCGTGGGAGGCGGACGTCATCTTGATCCGTGGAAGCGACTGCTACGTTACCATCAGCCCTGGCGATGCAAACGACAAGACGACCATGAACGATGCTGCAGTTCAGACTGAGATCATCAACAAGCTCAAGTCGATCCTTTCGTGCTTGCCTTAAGCTGGGAATGATTATTGGGATGGCTGAGCATGAAGCTTTTATGATGTACATAATACTATGACGGATAATGCCGCTCCAGAAAATCCCTCCAATCTGTTCTTGATCGCGACGCAACCAGCCTAATGACCCTAATCAAGCAACTGAAGTGAAAACACGTGAGGCTGATGAGTCATCGTTAACATTAGGGTGAAGGTAGGTGTAGTCTTACCTCTTAATGGTCAACACCGTCAACCAACCTGCAAGATTTACGATATTCACACCAATACCATGTCAAACCACGGCGATGTCGAAATATCAGCACCGCGTACCGATAAATCCTTATCACTTGCAGCGCGCATGAAATCGTACGAAGCACGCTTCGATCAAACCCTTCCTCTAGACAAACCCATCATCCTCCGTCTAGATGGCCATGGCTTCTCACGCTTTACCTCTCACTTCGCGCGCCCATTCGACGAGCGCATACACACCGCAATGATATCAACTTGCGCCGATCTCCTCCATTTCTTCCCCCGAGCCACAGTCGCCTACACGCAATCCGACGAAATCACCCTAGTCTTCCCAGAAGGGGTGCAGAGTTTCAATGAGCGAGTACAAAAGCTATGTAGCTTGAGCGCTAGCTACTGCTCCGTAAGATTCAACAAGCATCTCACTGATGCTCTGAAGGCCATGCCTGAGCCGGAGGTCAAGGGCGACGTGGAAGAAGTGCTTGGGACGGCACATTTCGATGCTAGGTTCTTTCCTGTGCCTGACATAGCAGAGGCGCTTAACAATCTCATCTGGCGCTGTCGCAATGATGCTGTGAGGAATTCTGTTTCTGCTTTTGCGAGGACTATGTATTCGACCAAGGAGATGAATGGGAAGAAGACGAAGGATCTTGTTAGTATGATGCTAGAGGAGAAGGGTGTTAGGTTTGAGGAAGCGGTGCCGAAGTGGGCGATAGAGGGCTGTCTGATCAAGAGAGAGCGGTATGAACATGAGGGAGTGAATGTGAAGACTGGAGAGACTGAGAAAACGTTTCGAACGAGGACGCGGGTGGAGGAGAGGGGTATTCGCGAATTTGGAGATGAGGGGTTGAAGTTGATGACAAGTAGGTATTGGTAAAGTAACTTCGTGAGCTTATTGCTCTTCTGCGCGGCAGTCAGGCTGCGACAATAGCCACAGCGATCAAACGTCACATGCAACCCACTCGTATGTGTGCTTTTCTTAATCCTTTCTTAGTTGATATTGAATCCGCGAAGGATAAAGGTATACAGCTGCGTACAGTTATTAAAGTGTGTTTGCGTTGCGATAATATAACGTGTTACTCAACCGCTCCATTTGGCGTTCCCAGACCAGCGCAATTAAAAAATGAAAAAATGAAATAAAATGAAACAGAAAGATGTGAGTCACACACGCAACTCATACCTGATCTCCTCATGCGTAGGATGCTGCAAAAAAAGAAGTTGGGGCCTGACCGGGATTCGACTAGACGCTATTAGTTTGCGTTCAATTTCGAATCTTAATGGGTGAACTTACACCCGGGGCCTCCTGCAGAATAGGCTTATCACAGTCACGTGATTTCCCAAAGCAGGAATCATACCACTAGACCATCAGGCCGATGGATCTCTTGAAGAGATGATTGATGGAAGGTTGTTATGTTGATGCGTTTATATAGCGGATTTTGCAAAAAAGGGGCTGCGCCGAGAATTGGCGCATTAGCGTTCTGAAGCGAGACATGCTGCATCTACCCCACCTTAGTCCACTAGTCTCACTATCTTGCCCCTCGGATTTGACCCAAGAATATTGGATATTGTATTTTCATGTTTCCACCGCGACTCGTTTTTGCTCGACACACATAGGACCCCAATAAACTTTCCGATGCACTCGATATAGAGCCTCAACACCGCATTCATGATCTGGATGTCTAGAGCCTGCGTTGTCAATTTAGTGATCGCACTTGAGAACAGTCATGGGGTAGCAGCAATATGAAATCATAAGAAAGTGCAACACTGAAGCACAGCATGCGAGAAAGTTTACAATTTCAAGACCAACTGTGCGCCGTAAAAGCATGTACAGTATCATGAGCATCGATTCAGGTTCCGTGGCATTTGATCGGCCTCCTAGGATCCAAAGAGGTTCTCATCCCTCCAAAAAATGGGAATTTGCTCAGACAAAACATCAGAGTGTGTAGAATCACATCGTGGTATTAACCATAAGATAAGCGGCAGAAAGATGGGTGTAACGAGAGAATAGCCATCTCGACTAGAGAAGTTCTTGGAACTGTCACTTGGTCCGCAAACACTAATCTGCCAGAATAGATGCAATGAGTATTTGCACACACGCCGCATGTGATGGATGCAGAAAGCGTTCGTGCCTCATAGTTAAAAGCTTTATCACTGCCTAGAAACACTGCAATATTTGATTAAAAGCTTTGCGGATTGCGCAAAAATGGCGCGTTTTGCCTCCAACCATTCATTATTACACCGTCATACTCATGTATCTAGCAACCCGTAGGTTCAGGTCAAGCTTGCTTAGATAGCAACGGTATGATTTGTGTAGCGCGTTGTGTTGCATTGTGCAAGTACGTGTGCTTCTCAATTGAGTAAGCCCGGTCAACCAAATCACGATGTGATCGCTTCTCGAGCTGTCCAGGCCCTTCTATCGTGAAAAATGAATTCTGCAATGCAAGGGACGCCGCGAAAGCCTGACGTGAATACCATGGCAAGGTGGATCATTTTCTCCACGGCAACCGCTACCACGACCGTGCATGCTACGCGGTCAGGCTCTTATCATGGGAAAATGAGAACTTCTCCATTTTAGATAACGCATCAAGCACAGAATTCCCATGTTTGCTCAGAATGATGTACCTCTGGCGTGTTGGCGACGCTATCCGCGACCAATCACCACAACTACCACCCAGCCCTGTGTCTCCACAGCCCCGCATTCCGGATACCGGTTGGGAACAGGCGCGACCCACTCAGACCACGCAGGCCAGCCGTGCCTGCAGGTGCCAACATCGTGAGATTGATGCTCGTACGTCTGTGTGGCAAGCCCAGTAAGCTAATCGTTACCAAATCTTATACCGTGTTTCCGTCACGCGCCTAGCATCAAGCTTTTGCCCTGCTCGTCTGCAGCGGCGTCCATCTAGGGTCTCAACGAATCGTGCGGCTGGGTCGCCGCGGAAGTCACGATGCTTTGTCGGTCAGCCAAGGTGAAGGAAGGGGAGGTACGCGTATGAGCTGCAATTACATCATGCCTGTGTGACATATACATGTCAGCCCAGGAGCGCCCTGGCTTGTCGCTCAACATTGTGTTTCCTCTCGTCTTGTCTTCTTACTTTCGACTATCAGTCTGCAAATACACAATCTCAGTCATGGCAGCTTTACGGTCTTCGAGAATGTTGCTTCGACGTTTCGCGCGCCCAGCGCCACCTGCGTTTCGACTTCAGCCTTGCACGACCCCTCTTCAGCGTCGAGGTCTCGCTTCACACCAAGACGCAACCTATCCCCAAGTTCCATACGAAAAACATGAGACCGTTGGAGAGAAGCGGTTTAGCCAATTCGACCTCGATGGAAAGGTTTTCGTGGTTACAGGTGCAGCATGCCGTCCTCCTCCCATCTCCAGAGCAGACAATATGCCTTTGTAACCCGTGTTAACGTATCAACAGGTGGAGGTCGTGGATTGGGACTATGCATGGCCGAAGGGCTCGTAGAGGCTGGTGGCAAGGTGCATTGTCTCGACCGGTTACCAGAGCCCCCTCAAGCATTCCAAGAGGCTCAGGGCCGTCTCAAGAGCAACATCGGTGCAGGTCTGCAGTACCATAGGGTGGACGTTACAGACGAGCAGGCGATGCGAAAGTGCATTGGCGACATTGCCTCGGAACACCAAAGGCTTGACGGCCTCATTGCAGGTACGGAATTCTTCAAATACTTTGGAACTCCAATGCTAACCATCCCTTCTCCAGCTGCCGGCATCCAGCAAGTCACACCCGCGATCGACTTCAAGAAGGAAGACATCGCAAAGATGCTCGATGTCAACTATACCGGCGTGTTCCTAGCAGCCCGAGAATGCGCCCGTCAGATGATGGAATACAAGATTCAGGGCTCGATCTGCCTGGTCGCAAGCATGAGTGGCACCATTGCCAACCGAGGCTTCATCGCGCCCGTTTACAACTCGTCCAAGGCGGCCGTGGTGCAGCTGGCACGAAACTTGGCCATGGAGTGGGGGCGAAAGAATCCAGATGGTTCAGGGGGTATCCGAGTGAACTCTTTGAGCCCAGGTCATATCGTCACGCCAATGGTGCAAGCCAACTTCGACAAGGGCGAGGCCAGCCGCGAGGAATGGGAGAACAACAGCATGTTGGGCAGGCTCAGCACTCCTGAAGAGTACAAGGCTGCGGGACTGTTCATGTTGAGCAAGGCGAGCAGCTACATGACTGGGCATGATCTGAAGCTGGATGGCGGTACTACCGCTTGGTAAGAAGGCTGTTGTCGTACTGTAGGATATGTCTTTTGAGCGTTCTCAGCGACAGGTTGGCGTTGGTATGGATTAACGCCAGTTACGAATTAGTTTAGTGTTGATAAGCTTTCCAAAATTGTATCACCAGACTTCTGTCAAGTTATTAGCGCGAACATGTGGTCGTCTCAACATATTGAAGCTGAAAGAGTGATGGCAAGACACGCTCCTCCCAGTCGCTGTTCTGGTTCAGGGTCCGCACGCGCCTTCCCCACTCTGCGCTAGCTTACAATCGGACCATCTGTCCTTCCGCGCGGTCTTGCGACAGCTGTACAATTCGCGGAGCCACCAAGAGGGCAACAACTCGAGTCCGCAAGCGCTGCAGCTCTCCACACATCCCCAATTCAGCATGGACCGGTTAGCACGTCTTCTCAGCTGCGTGCTGCTGGCAATTCTCCCCCTCGCCGCGGCCCTGAAATTCGACCTCCACCCGGTCGCACCACACGACTCGGCCAAGTACGAGCGATGCGTTAGGAACTTTGTTGCCAAAGACCAGTTGGTGGTTG